GAGCCTAATATCGTAAAATATGTGAAAGTGTTTGCATCAGTTATATATACATACATATATTCATGTCCCTATATGTATGTATACACACCTATGTAAAGAAAAGTTCGTATCAGCTTAAATACAGCATTTTCGTCCTAGGCATTGGTACCGAACTGGTGAGATATTATTCTCACATCAGCTTTAAAAAGGGGCGGAAGGCAAAAGAGGGAAATGTACTTGGAGGTGGTTAATAAGAAAAGGAGACTTAAAAGGGAGACTTAGAGCTGTGGAACATAACCATCTTTTTTCTTACAATTTATATTTCCAATTAATTTCATCCAGGGAGATGGGATTTCTCTTCCTTTTACAACACACACACACACACACACACACACACACACACATCTTCATTAAACCACAGATCATTTCTTTTCTGTTTTGAGAGTTTGAATTCAGTCTACCGAAATGATACCTAATTAATTTTTTTTAAAAACCTATACATATAGATTTATATTTTAAGAATTTAAACTTCTCATGGTTTCTAAAATGAGCGAAAACAGGGAATTTAGAATTGTGAAGAGCAATTTGAGCCAAGCCTGATGCAGATGTAAAGGGGAGGGGGAGAGATAAAGCTAATCCATTTAGAAAATAAAATTATAATGTTTCTCATTTTGTATTTTAAAATATTTTCTAGATTTGAGGGTTTGTGCTGCTCTGCAAGTAGAATGACATGTCCAGTACTCCCAGTTACTCAGTGGTGATGAAAGCCATGTCAAGGAGTGTGTGGGGTGTTGGTGGGTATTGGGGTGTTTTCCCCCTTATGGTTTTGTGTGTGTGTGTGTGTGTGTGTGTGTGTGTGTGTGTGTGTGTAAGAGAAGATATTAAAGAGGTATCTGTTGTTTGGCAATTTTGCTAAGTCTGTCTTCATTACTTCAACATTGTGCATTTGCTAATTTGGAAGCCCCTTCCCATTGACAGTCCTGCTCCATACACCTGCAAGCAATTTGCCTAGCTCCAATATAGTAGAATTGCAGAGATGGCAGCTCGAACCTATTTTATTATTTTTTTTTTCCTTTTCTCAATGCACAGCAAATTTGGCTTTCAGTGCGTTATCTCTTTTGTTAATGCAAAAAGATTCCCTGGGCGAAAAAATTGCTCATAATTACCAGAGAGATGGGGAAACTGCATTAGAATAAATAAACCTGAAATTACTGTAATTATGTTGTGTTTGATGGGCTCGGCTTGTAATCAAGAAGAGAATACAGTGAAATGATGCTGACCCTCTCGGGTTTGCAGCTGTACGCGCACTTTGGGGTCTTTTTTTGCAGAAAAGAGTCATTTTGATAATCATTAAGCTGTGTGTAACCTATTTCAGAAGTGTTTTAAAATGAGGTTCACATTTTTTGAACAAGAAAAAAAAATCCTAAAATTGCATTTTGCCATTACAGACTCATACATAAGGAAAGGTTGTGTTTTCTAAGTGACAATTGTTAAGACATAATATTCGAAATCAGTATTTAATCATTGTAATGAGGTATTGTTTAAATATAACCACCTTTAGATTATTCATAGTTTAATTAATATACTCATTATGAAAATCTTTGAATCAGATATTTGATGAACTACTTGTCAGTAACAAGGCAGCATTAATTAGGCCTATATTGAGATTAACATTTTTAAAAGTACAACCGCTTATAATTATAATAGAGCCTAACTAAAGACCGCCTTCGTTGAGATAAAACTAATAATTTCTCTATTTGAACTGTTAGCAAGACATTATTAAATTAGTATAAGCTAATATCTCAAAGTATTAAAATCCTCTTGACCAAACAGATTCTGCCTGTGGCTCAAGGCTTTGGACCCCTGGCTGCTGTTTCTGGGGAGAAGAGTAGGCTATATGATCTTCATCTGCCAGTAACCTAACCAGTAACAAGTGAGTCACGTCTCACTGGGGAAACCGAAGTCTGAGTGAACTCCGCTAAGACCAAATGTCTAGCTCTCTGGCCTGGCAAACCCATTCACACTCATTCAGGAATAGGAAGTGGGCTGAATTCGTGGTTTGGAGGTAGATCGCGGTGTGGAATTTTTTCTGCTTTCCTATTTTTCTTTTAATGATCCTGGGTCAAAACTCTCTGGGCATCCTGGAAAGGCCAAGATAACTACTTCCCGGAAATGTCCTCCAGTTGCCGGAGTGAGAGCCCACCGTTTTCCCATCCCTACACGCTTCCATCCCGTACTTGTGCTTTTCTGGAGAGGCGTCGAATGGACCCAGATCATTTGATCATTCATCATCATGAATTGAAAAATGGGTGCGTGTCACAACAAAAAATCAATGCCATTTATCAACGCTTTCCTCCCAACCACCCACCGGAAATCCACCCCACCCCCACCCCCAACCCCGGCAGAGGCTGCATTTGCAGACCCAGACCTAGACCTAGTCACCGGAATCAAAACCAGCTGCCCCAGCGCTCCCCACCCCCAGGCCAAACCCGTGGTGACTGGCAGGTTCGGTGAATGGACTCTGAGTGCGGGTCAGGGCTCAGATCCCGGACTAGGGTCGCGACCCGCAGCAACCTCTGAAGAGAGGCCTAGACTCGGATCAGAGAGTAGGGCAGGGGCAGAAGCGGCTCACGGGTGCTATCCAGGGAGGCCGGGGAAGTGGGATAAGGTGAGAAAGAGTTAGGTTCGGGTTTGGTCCAGGTGGAATCTTCCCCAGAACGGTCCGAAAGTCTAGGTGGATGGCTTTGGGAACTGGAGAGGTAGTTGAGTCTGCTGGGGGTAGAATGGGAAGGCTGAAACTGAGAGAAGCAGGCGACTGAGTTTCCTGTCCTGACCCATTGAGTTTCCAGAGTCATCCCCGACGGCCCACACAAGCAGGCTACCAGTCAAACCATCTCACAGGCGCATATACTACAAATCCTGCTTTTTAAAGAGGGGAGAGAGTGTGCATCCGAAAGAATCCACTCTACAAAATAATCATTTACAAAGTCCTTTAACCCAAAGCTTCCTGTGCTAAAGACCCCTCCCTCCACCTCCCCTACCTCCCGGTGGAGATTTCAAATCACATTTCAGTTCCAATAAGCAGGGGGAAACATTTCCAAACTGTTTACAGAAATGTCATTCTCCTGGTTAGGCAACGACCAGCTTCCCTGCTCGGACATCGAACACACCCCACTCTCTGGTGAAACACTAAGGCCCAGGGAGCGCTTGGCAATCCGTGAACTAAACAAGCTTTCAGAAGTGCTTAAATCAAACAAGGCTTTGCGAATAAGTGGCCTTAGCCCAAGCTGTCTCCGGCATGGAAGATCCTGCTGCTTTTTTCACCCTCCTCCTGAAAAATGGGGGAATGCTCCCTACCCCCTTTCCTTCTCCCTCTCACTAATTGGGTGTATAGTAGGCACTCAATAAATGGTCGTTGATTGATTGAAAAGGGAGAAATGAAGACATAGACTTTTGAGCTCCCCACCCCCTACCCCGCTAGTGTTTGGCTGGAGACAGATCTGAGTGCTTTCAGTCCAGGGACAGGGGTCAGAGTCTGTCAACCCAGCGAACGAAGGAAGTCCTCTGTTTACTGCTCTTCATCCCAGCCCAAACTTAGTGACTTGGGGAAGGGACACTCCTGAAACCCAAGGCAGTCATAGATTGGCCCAGCAGCTGTCTTGATTGCCCGTCCTTTCTTCCTGCCCTTTAACTTATATTTCCCACTCCCGACTTCAACTCTTCTCGGAAGCACCTGTTCCTTCTCTGAATTTCCTTTCAACAACCTCGTGCTCTCTCCCCGACCCCATTCCCTCTTTCCTCCGCCTTTTAAACAGGAGTAAGGGAGGATTAGAGGAAGCCGCTACAAGAAAGGAGAACAAACTTCTAATGTTGAGAAGGAAAATCTGATGCAAAAAGAGGGGACTGAGGGCCTCAGAAGGGCCAGGAGGTTTCAGGGGCTGAGAACGATTCCCTCCTCTCCTGGGGTGGGGTGAGCACCTAGTCCAAGGACTTCGGGTCTGTGGTGTCCAGACGATCTCAGAGAAGCAGAGCAGGCCATAGGAATGGACACACCAGGCTTGGATTAGACACACTAGCCAAGGCAATCGACTCACTCAGTTTATAAGCATCGAAGTCGCCACTCTTCAGCAGGTCCCGTGGCGAAACTTAGCTAGCATTACACTTTGTCCCAAAAGTTCTTTTCTGAGATGCATCCTTCCCTAGGGTCCAGGTTCTGCCAGCCCCCACGTCTGGTAGGCTCTTGGCCTCTGAGGACTAGTGGGAAGAGGCCAAGGGCCAACCCGCATTGGGCCACAGACAGCATCTGTTTCTGCCTGACTCGAAGATTCCGGGTCCTGGCATCTCAGCCCTGCTCCTTTCTCTCTTGCCCAAAATTCGCTCCTGTACACAGCACACAGGGCATCATCTCTTTTTCGAAACCATAATTTTACTGTCTCAAAGAAACTTTATAACTTATTTACAAAGTTTTTTTTCCCCAGATACAAAGCAATAAGTTAACATTCTCAATATAAAACTAAACTTTGACATATAGAACACTAAACACAGTTGATTTCAATTGATCACATTTTCCAAATTTCACAAGTAAAATGTCAAGATTCCCATTTCACAAAGCATCATGTTTTACAGCCACACAAAACGGAACAAAAAAAGGCTAAATTTGTGCAACATGTTTACAGAACAATAATAATAATAATAATAATATGTACAGCGATTAGATCTTGCACTGGAGTATGTGCATGTAGATTTTTGATTGGCATTTTTCTGTGGCAAAGCCTCTGGAGATCGTTTTTAAAGCTGCACTGTCTCAATTCAAAGCCCATTGGAATAATTTCGCTTCCTCTCTCCTCCCTCTTTCTTCTTTTCCACTCAGAGCAAGCAACTCTCTCTCTCTCTCTCTCTCTCTCTCTCTCTCTCTCTCTCTCTCTCTCTCTCTCTCACACACACACACACACACACACACACACACACAGAGAGAGAGAGAGAGAGAGAGAGAGAGAGAGAGAGGAGAGAGAGAGAGAGAGAGAGAGAGAGAGAGAGCGCCAAGAGAATTCAAATTTTTTCACTCTAAGCAATCAACCGCTCGGAGGATGAATGAAATTGTGTTCGCTTATTTTCATTTTCTTTTCTCTCTCTTTTAAATAACACTGAATATGTAAAAAAAAAAAAAGAACGCAAATCATTCGGACCCAACCTCTCCACATCACCAAAGTATAAAAGTTATTGTAAAAGTTAAAAATCACATCCTCATTATTTTTTTTCCTTTTTCGATTAAAGTAAACGGTGCTTTCAAACAGTGCACTTTGCAAGCCAAATATATTCACCAAGTGTCTAGCACTCAGATAGTGGTAGTTTAAGTCAATTTGTCAATAAATAAAATCCCTTCCCCTCCCTTTCCTCCCATCCCACCCCAGCAAACTACACATATGGATAGGCAGGGCACAGGAGAATGTCCAAAAAAATTTTTCCAAACTATTACAAGGCGGGGACAATTGAGGGGGAAAGAGTATTCCGCTTCCGTGCTCATTGCTATCAAAGAGGCTGTAAAGGTGGGGAGAACAAATGAAATTACCTATATTTGATCAGGGCACAGAGACAGAAAGAAGACGACGAGACAGACAGGACAGAAAAGAGAGTGTTTCTACAAACATTGTTTTGTTTTCTGATCGCCCCACAAAGCTGAGGGTCGAATTGTCTCCCTGCTCCCAGGTTGTCCTCCGAGTGATCTAACAGAGCTCAGAGGCAGCTTTCTCAGCTGTCAGCACTTGGGAAACAACCCCGCATCACATCCGCGCTTGTTTGCGGCACGCCAGAATTTGGAGCGTCATCCAACCGAAGGCTCTCCCGGGTCTGAAGAGGTCCGGTGCACTCTGTGGTCTGTCTGGAGACTGGTGCTTAGCAATGGTGGTTGGTGGCGGCGGTGGTTTGCATCCTTTGTTTATGTTTTCCTTTCCTTGGCTCTCCCTTCTTCTCCTCTGGACCCATAGTGCGTGTCAACCGGGGGTGGGCTGGGCTGGACTGGGGAGACAAATGGGGACCCGGGTACTGGGTGGGGAGAGGCGGCAGGAAGGAAGATGGGTTGGTTTGCTTTTGTAAATCACATGAGCTGAGGTTGCTGCATAGCTTCTTGATGGGCTGAGGGGTACCACGACGTGTAGCTCGGTATGTAGGTGCCCGCGTTGCCAGTGGAGCTCTTACTGGAGGAGCTGCTGGTGTTCCAGCCCGGGGGTACTGGAGGTGAGCTGGCGGACAGAGCCCGGCCGTTCGCCAGGGCGCTGCTCTCAAGCGCAGCCCCTCCCTGCTTCATCAGTTTCTTGAATTTGGACCGCTTGTTCTGGAACCAGATTTTAACCTGCAAAATCAAACATCACAGACGTGACTTGGGGTGTGGGTATGGGTGGAACTATGCTTAAGGGACAAGATTTATGACTAGGGAGAATGGGGAGAAAGAATCGAAGGGAAAGGGGAGGGAGTAGTGTACAGAGAAAAGCCCGGCCTTTCCTGCAAAGCCTAGGAAAGTGAGCCCAGAAGGCAGCGGCGCTTCTACCGAGAGAATGAAATGTGATTCCCCTCATCTAATCCCTTCGCATTGACTTTTAATGATAAAGCCAGTGACCAGCCCGTGGGGCTAAGCAACGCAAAAGAGGAAGAACAGAGCTTACACTCAGTCCAGGGGGCGCGGTTGGGAATCCCAACTACTGCTAAGAGAGAACAGCTTTTTTTTTTTTTTAAAAGAGAGAGAGAGAACAAGTTTTAAAAGAGCAAGGATGGTGTGCGCTCGTGTTGGCGGCGGGGGGGGGGAGGTGTTGAGGAAGGTCGGAGGGTAAGGGAGAGAGAAGAATCGAAGAAGAGAAAGAATAAAAGGCTTTTTTCCTGCCTAAGCCAGAGACAAGAATTAATCTCACAGGCTTTTCCATTATTTGTCTACTACCAGATGCCGAGATCCCATGAATAACCCTTCCAATTCCAATTTAAGCAGTTATTTAGAGAATAAAAAATAAAAACAAAAAGTGTGGAAACTACAGAGATTGTTTTAGGAAATTTATTTCGAGTCCACGGCGTTCTCTTCTCACTGATTTCTTTGCCCTAGGGTGAGTTGGCTGAGAAGATGGTGTTACGTTTGACATTTCTCTGGGCTCAAACCAATCATTGCTTTTGTGTTTGTTTGCTCCCCCCACCCCCACTCCGCTCCAAATACCGGCCCGGGACATTCAAAACCAAGAATATTACTAAATGACAGAGATGCTGAGAGAAAGAATGCTTGCTCTTTCTCTCAGAGAAAATCTAAAATGTAGCTAAGCAAAATTATGCGGTTTTCTCGTTAGGATCGTGTTAAGAGAGATTGTGCCCTCGGGGCGGGGAGGAAAGTTCCCCCACTCCCACCAACAAAGTGGGAGAGAAGGCGGAGGAGGAGGAGGACTGGGAAGAAAAGAAGGGTGGCAGCGTCGTGGTGCCAAAAGGCTGAGTGATTAGCAATGCACTTCAAAGCCATAGAGGGGATTAGAACCCGTCTCGTTCCTATTGTTCCAGTAGTTCGGGCACGTGCGGCCCCAGCGCCCCCAAAACAAAACCCAGCGAGGAAATCCTACCGCTTCAATGATCAGAGTGCCCGGGAATCAAAGTACGGCAGAGGATCACTGGTAAAAGGGGAGTGAGGGCAGTCGGAGAGACAGAGAGGTTATATGTAATATGACATTACATATGTTCTATTCTATATATGTATATACATGGGAGGGGGGAAAAAACAAAGCAAAGCGGGATAAAAAGAGGCCTGTGTGAGTGGTAGGAGAGGAAGATTCTCTCTTGTACCTGAGTCTGCGTGAGTCCCAGTGAGGCTGCGAGCTCCGCTCTTTCCGGCAGAGCTAGGTACTGAGTTTGCTGGAACCTCCTGTTCAAAGCCTGCAACTGCAAACTGGAATAAATAGTCCTGGGTTTGCGAATTTTTTTCCCCTTCCCATTGAAACGAACTTCCCCTCCTTCTACCACGGTGCTTTTCTCTGAATCTGCTCCTGAAATAACAGCAAAGAAGATGGGCAATCATTAATAGTAATAATGATGGTGGTGGTGATAATCACAACGATAATTAATAACAAGCAAAGAGAAGAGCAGAAGCAGCGACAAGGTTGGGGGAGAAGTGGAGCAAGTGGGAAAGAGGTGTGAAAAAAAGGAAAAAATGCGAGATCAAGTTCCTCTAACAAAGGCTGGGGGGCTATTTCAGAAGCTTGGGCTCCTTCTCAGGGAAAGTTTGCTATTTTTACAGGCTGCAGTTTAGGTTTAATTACCCTTAATTGCATACATTGTTTATAGCGCTACGCAATAAATAATTACCAAGACTAATACGTGCACATCTGGGTTTCTGTTTTCCAGAGGGGCATTGTGTGCTCAGCACACGGAGCCGCCCAGAGACACAGCCAATTCGGGGAGGACGAACGCTGGATTTATTCTTTTCTTGATGGTTATGAGTTTTAAATTTTTTCTTTGATAGGATACGGATGCATAGACTGATATCCGAAACCTCTCTTGCTCTCTCCCGCCCTCCCCCCTCCCTCTCCCCCTCTCTGCTCTCTCTCTTTCCTCACACCTCCTCCCCTCCCCTTCCTCCCTGTGGAAAGCCAAGTGCACATACCTGTCTCCTCTAACCGGGTCTGAGTCAGGCTGGAGCTGTTGGGATAGGATTGCACTGAACTGATGTAAGGATTAGACGAGTGGCTGCTGACGGAGTTGACATAGGGGGTAGCCCAGCGGTCTGGAGAAGGATGAGGCCGAGCTGTAGGAGCTGTCGGGCTGCGAGTGGCCAGCAGAATGTAAACAGTGCATGGAATAGTGTCCGTGGGACATGGGAGAAGGAGACATTTGCTGGCTGGGTGGCCCAAACTCCATAAAGACAGCCTTGCCCGACACAGGGCTGTTGAGGCTTTCTGGCATAGTAGTCATGGTCATTTCTTCTCGCTGGGTCTGGGTGTGGGTCTCTCTCCTCTGCTTTCCTTTTTGGGGTCTCTGTGTTTCTCAGGACAGGAAGGAACCCAATTTAAGCGGAACAGGGATTTTCACTTTCCATTCATAAGAAAATGGAGTTTGTCTCTTTGAAAAGTCTAAGCATGATGCTGCCGAGCTCCCCAAACTCGCCTCAAAGCTTTGACTCAGCCAAGGTCATGAATATTCATGAGCTGGCGGATCTGATTGGTCCGCCGTCTTGCATAATCGCCTGGGATTGGTCCGAGGTGCTTTGGCTCGGCTGGACTAGAGGGAGAGAGGCAAGCAGGACTTGGGCGAGATGCGTCCCCGAGCCCCTGCGAGTGAACATCTGCAATAGAGCAACACGACAGGGCTCACAATGCGGCGGCGGCAGGCGCCAGAGCGGAGAGAGTTTACAATCCCTCCAACGTCCCCCCCCACCTCTAACTTCTTTACCCCCTCTTTTCCTTCTCCCTCCTCCCTCAAAGCGCCTTCTTCCCAAGAAGCCAACCAGCAAGTCCCCCCACCCAGCCCCAGCCAGCACGCCCCCCTCACTGGGGGACCTCGGGGGGGCTACAGCTTGCAGCAGCCGCCCCCACCTCCTCTGGTCCTCTGGGCCCCCAGCCTAAAACAGGGACGGGGAAACGCAATGGGGCGGAGGGCGGCCTGCAGTCTCTTGACTGGCCTCACCACTACCCCAGTTCGCGCTTCCCCTGGACCGCAGCATCTTAGGCGCCAGCACGCATAGACGTTCCTGGGACTAAGTGCGGAGCAGAGACTCCCAGGGAAAGGCGCCTCCTTCCACTCTAATCACGCTTACTTCTTTCTCCGGTCTCTTTTTTGCCCCTTTCTAATGCATCTATTTCTTGCCTGTTTTCCACTCTTTCTCTCCTCCCCATGCAGTCCACCTTCCCCTTTTCTTGGTGACCCTCCTCCCCAACTCCCCCTCCCTTCCTAACACATACACACAATTGCTCACTCCACCGGCGCTCCTCTGCTCACCAGGGACGGCTCGCATCTCTCCAGCCTCGACTCCTCGCGTACGCTGAGGCTGTGGCTGATCTGATTAGTCCCTGTGAGCGAGGTGGACCCCACGCTTCTCCTCCCAGGAAAAGAGGATGCACCCCCCCCCCAGACACATACACACTCTTCACCCTCCTTCCTTTCCTTCCCCTTACCCCGTTCAACCGCCGCCTTCCTCCTCCCCTTCCCACCTCATTCCCCTTCCCCTATGGGCTTGGTGGCTAAGGGCTAGTTTCCAGCACGCCAGGGGAGCAGAGAGAAACCAGGACATGGGCAGAATCAGCAGGGGTCAGAGCAAGCTGAATGGTCGCTGGAGGGTAGGATTTCTTCGTCTCCCTAAGGAGGCCTTGTTAAAGTAAAGGGTGTTACCTGTGCGAAGGGGGAGCACTCTCCCGCACGCAGCAACAGGGTCTGTGTCCGTTGGCGCACGACCGTAGGAGGACGCATGTCTCCATTTATGCTCAGCTATCTTCCACATGTATAGGGCTTGGCCTCCAAACCCGGTTAGAAACACGAATGAACTGGGGCGGGAAGTGGGGGTGAGGTGTAGGAGGGCGTTGGGTAAGACCCTGTGCTGCTGCCCAGGAGGTGGTCCCGGACTAGGGCCCAAGGCGAGGCGGTGAAAATGGAAGTGGGGAGGGGGGGCGGGCGAGTGGGTGGCTAGTGAAAGTGAGAAGGCCCTCCAGTTCTGCCCCGAAGCATAAGACAGACAACAACAAGCACCTTTCGCCTGAAGCAAAACACACCCCACAAAAATACACACACTCACACAAAACAACTGGCACGGAGTCGCAGGCATGCTGACAACGTTGGGCTGCAGGATCCCAATCCCGCTAGCCCCACGGTGAATCCCAAATTACTTTGTTAGATAATTAGAAAGTGTTGATAATTATTTCTTTCATAATTTAGTGGTGTGACGGTAACAGGGAAATGATCTTGTGAAAGTTCACACGTGCAGATGTATTAGTTACTGATTCATTTGATTAAATGCTAGTCTCAAGTGCTCTGATCCACAGCTGAAGGCGGCCCCATTAGCATAACACTGATGTTTAATTTTCATACGCATAATTAGCCATATATTTAACACTAATAGCAACATGCAGCCTTTCAGCGTTAAACAGCCTGGGATTTGATCTGGCCTGAGCTGAACCTTCTCCGTTACACCTTAGCCTGTCTAGGGTGCGCAGTTATCACAGGACCAAATCTATGTAATCAAGCACATTTTGGCAAAGAGAGAACACCAATAAAAATGAACATTCAAAACAAATTACATTGGTGATGTCGTTACAGATATTAGTGGAGGGGGCTTCTCTCTTTTTTAACTTCTGCAGCAGCGGCTGCAGTCGCCGCTGTTGCTGCTGCTGTCGGAATTTTTCTCTCCGGGTTTAGGACATTAGGCTGGGGGCAGAAATATGTCAGGAAGCGTGGTTGGAGCAAAAAATAAAAACAAGCTGGGGAGGAGGAAGAAATCTTCCAAACCAATAATGGGTTTGCCAACGTTAAAAAGATTTTTTTTTAAATCTCTGAACCACACGGTGATGCTTTGTAGCAACAACCAGCTAATGACTGAAACCTGACAGCCCCCGGAGCCTGTGGGTTCTTCCTGATTTAGTTAGCAGTTACTCTCGTGATTTTAATTGCTCCTTCCTAGAGCTTGTTTCACGCTCGTTTTGGGGTGAGCCCGGTAAAAGTTCATTTCTCTGGCCCAGCCGCGGATCGGTGGTGGTGGTGGTGGTGGTGGTGGTGACGAGATGGGGGAATCATGCCTGCCATTCCCCCAGCATGAACTCCGCTCTGGCAATCAGGTCTCCCCTGCGTGCTGCCTTCCTGAGCCGTGGCCATGTAAGTGATCACTCGAGGCGGGTTCGTTTTCGGGAAGAAGCAGGGGTTGGGGGCCCCCAGAGCAGGAGGAGATTCGGGATAAGGAAGGGGGTTATTGAGACACTAGGTTGAAAGCATGTCAGTGGACAAACTAAAGTGACTTGTTTAAGGAGAGATTCACTAAAAAAAAGCTGTCCGAGAGAAGGAACAGCTAGGAAGGAGTTGGCAAGAACGTGAACCTAACTAGCAAATGCAGGTCAAGGATCCTTTTGATGAATTACTCTTATTTGCATCCGGACAAGGGAGTAAAGGCAGAGAGCTGCAGTCAGCATTATGGTTTGCAAATGTGATCCCTTAGACTGATTCCGTGTAAACAAAGCCAACTCAAAGTCCTTTCAGCTGTTGGCTGGTTCCACAAGAAAAAAAAATCCTAACCAGAAATATTTAGATTAGCGTTATACTTTAATGCTGAATTCTTCGGCATATCGTGGGAGTGCTTATGTATGAACGCGCTTATCTGGAGTACCTGTGCATTTATTTACACCTAGAGAGAGTCGTGTTCGTGTATAAATCTGAGGAGAGGCAGCGGAGAGAAAGATCTAGTACACTGGACAGACTCAGCTTTCTTATCAAGCTATTTTTTTTCCTGGTTGTCACCAACTTTGCGTGATCTTATCTATCTTCTACAAACCTTAAGAGAACAATCCCTCTCCCCATTCTCTTCCCCATTGAGAGTAACACCTGTTCTAAAATGCCTAGCTTTCCCAGGTCTCTGCATGTCACAACTCTGATAGGAAAGACAGTCCCTTTCCTCCAGAGTTTCAAAAATACTGAAGCTGAACTTGTTTTGAAATTCACCAAAAACCAGTCAGATATCCTTACAGAAAGTTGTGGCTGTGTGCGTGACTGTATCTAGATGTAAAGTGAAATAATTTCAAAAGGATTCAAAGTCGGTCCTAACAAATATTTACAAATAATTTGTCATGAAATGGAGTAGGACTGTTAGAGGCAAAAGAAATACTTTTCAAATGGTCATACTAATTTCATCCCGAAAGGCCATTCTACTATATATAGCGGGACTGGGTTGTCTTTGTTTATTTTTGGTTGGGGGTTGGGGGGGGTCGGACATCTATTTTTTAAAATTCTAGCAATAACCTTTATAATTAGGATTATAAATACATATCATAAATATAATCACCTAGTTATAATTGCCACATAAACAGCTTGTTACCACAGCAGTTGGTAGAATCCTGCAGTCCTAATAAAAATGATTCTCAAATAACCCCAGAGTCAATAGATCCTAACCCGGGATCCCGGACTAATCTCCAACAATCCGATTATCCTTCGCAGAAAGAGAAATCATTCTTTTGGCAAGCGTCCCCGAGCATCGAAATGGCCCCGGTGCTCTTAGGAGACTGCATTGTTCCGTGCTACCCCAAGGGCGTTCTAACGCTTCTCCACTTCCTTCTCTCATAGCTCTGGTTGCCCAAATCCTGGGTCAGCCTCCTGCTAATTCCTTACTGCACTTTCTTAAACTGCACACTCATCGCCTTTTTCCAACTCTTTCCTCTTCAGTGTACCAACTAAAACTGTGAACAGGACGCATCTAAAGAACCCAGCTTCTTGCCCATAGAATTAACTAGTATCCACGGTTGCAGAGACAACCAAAATGTGGTTGCACCAGGGTTTGAAATGCAGTGGGAAACCGTATGTCCAGGTAACAATCCAAATACCTCCTTCAAAACGAGATGTTTTCCATGGGCAGCATACCCGTTCATTTGTCTCTCATTACCTTCCTATTCTAGTGGTGTGGAGTCTGAATTTGTCAGAAGACTGGACCCTCCAGTAATTCCACTTTGCTTGGCTGCAACACCAATATCTGTGATACTCTGGAGGAAAGGGACTGTCTTTTCTATCAAAGTTGCAGACATGCAACAGCAGACATACACACACACACACACACACACACATTTGCTTATCAAGTTTCTTTAGAAACAAGTATCTATATTTCTCTTACTTTAAAAAGATACCCCCCCCCCCACTGATTGGATTCCCAATTGGTGTGCGAAGTTCAAGGCCTTGCAGTCCCAAAAGAAGCCAGGCGGAGTCTGGATAGCTGAGTGAGAAGGAGACAAGGAAAGACGTTTGGGTTTGGGGGTTTACTTTTGTAAGACGTTAGGTCTTTAAAAGGATACAGGGTCTGTACAAGGGGAGTCCCTCAAGTGAGAGATTAGTCCCTTAAGACAAAGCAAAAGTCAAACCCAATAGCCACCATCCGCCT